GGAGTGCGAGAAAGTCTGGATTTCATCAAAACCCTCGACCCAGCGACTGCCAGGATCGTCCGGGACGCTTATGGCTGGTCCACCAACAAGGGATTCGCCTTTTTGGTTTGTGTAGTGTTCTTTGCCTTGTTGAGCAGTTGTTTCATCCGTGAAAGCAAACTCAGCCGCTAATTCACAGGTGAAGCTCTATACTTGAAAAAGATACAGATTTCCATTCTTTGAAAAGCGACAAACTTATATAGAAACTACTATGGTGTATGATCTGTCTAGCATTGGGATTGGCTTGAAAATTGTCTATGTTCATCGCATATATATACCAAAGAAGGTAGACGGGATATAAAAGAAGTTTTGCATATATTCCAAAATTCAATCGAGAAAAGACCACAGGTTTCCCGGGCACGAATCAGCTAAAGAGGTAAGCATCGTATACCATCTGCTAATCTATCTACAAGAATTGGAAGATATCACATCATTCTCATTTGCAATTTTCAAAAATAGTATCTTTTCCTACATCAAATGGTATACATTGAAAAGAAAAGTCATTTTGCACATTTCAAGCCGTTTTTACTACCTATGCCCTAGCTACAACACCAATAAGGCGAGAAATATCTACAAAAAAGCCATCTAAAAAGAACTTGAAAAAGATCGTACATAGATAGGTATGATGTAGGCTACCTATGCCGCGCAGCTCAAGTATAGCTTACTAATCCAGCATCTGAGCGGTCCTGTCAGCAACCCGTTGACGTTTCAACCTTAGAAATACCATCTTCAAGTTGACTGTCATATCCATTCTAATTAAGTGTCTTTATTGATACTTGCGGGTCTGACTTGATCTGCTTATCCAGCTGTGATCAGAATGCGCTACCCCTTGTGTTCCTGACGTTTTTGTGCAGCTTCCGCTAGCTCGTCTTCCGCCAAACGTCCGTCATGTCCGACTCGCGCTCAGGGCCAGTCTCACTCGCACGATATCGACCTATCCTCTACCTCTTCACTGGCGTCGCTGCTGCCTATGCGATTCTCTATGTTCACAATAATGTCATTTCGCAGCCATCATCAACTTCACTGCGTCGTCGAAATGCTGTGCGCCGCCCGAGGCCAACCGAAGCCGAAGAACCCGAGATCGCTGATACTCCGTCCTATCGGGCTATTACCCACCTTGAACAACTAGAGCGTCAGAATGGTGTATATGGGACATTCCGCATTGAGACAGAGGATGGGCGTCGCGTGGAGAGCGGTCTTCTTCCATCACTCCTCGCAACACGCGACCAGCTGATGGAAGAAGTTGGTGTCCCGCCTGCTCATGCAGAGCGCATGCGCGAGATGATGGAGGATACTTTTCTTGAATCCTTCCTTGCGCTCGATTTCCCATCTGCACACATTCTCCCAGAAAACACCCCAGAAAGAACATACTTGACAGAGCAACTTCAACACCGAGGTATCTCCCGAGCTGGTATCGAAAGGGCTCTTGTCCGGTTCAACGGAGATTCGAATTACGGGGATGAGTTGCGTCGGCGACGACAGAATGGTGAACGTGTCACACTCTCAACCTCTACCTTCCCAGACGTGTCTGCGCCTCCACAAAACCTTGATGGTGGTGAGACGGTGGTGGATGACCAAAGCGTCTTTTCATGGCGTGATGGAAATAACGATCCTTCTAATAGGGAAGGTCAAAACCTACTCAACCTCCTCTACCACATCGCTGAAGATCAGGCGCGGAGGGACGGCTATATCCATCGTGGAGTTACTTGCAACAGCTGCGGTGCTATGCCGATTCAGGGTATTAGATACCGGTGTGCCAATTGCATCGACTACGATTTGTGTGAGACGTGCGAGGCAATGCAGGTCCACATCAAGACACATTTGTTCTACAAAGTGCGGATTCCAGCCCCATTCTTAGGAAGCCCCCGTCAATCTCAGCCTGTATGGTATCCTGGAAAGCCTTCAATGCTCCCGCGCAGCCTTCCACGACCTCTTGCCAAACGTCTTATGAAAGACTGCAATTTCGAAAACACTGAGCTTGATGCACTTTGGGATCAGTTCCGCTGTTTGGCCAATTATGAGTGGGCGAATGACCCGAACAAGTTGCATATGGCGATCGATCGCAAAACATTTGACCGATGCTTTGTGCCTAATACTTCTATCCGGCCTCCGCCTCCCAGTCTCATTTACGACCGAATGTTCGCATTCTATGACACCAATGGCGACAATCTTATTGGGTTTGAAGAATTCCTTAAGGGTTTGGCTAGTCTCAATAATAACAGCAATGACGAACGGCTGCGACGTGTATTCCGTGGCTACGACATAGATGGGGATGGCTTCGTCGAACGCAAGGACTTCCTTCGGGTTTTCAGGGCATACTATGCGCTAAGCCGGGAGCTTACAAGGGACATGGTTGCTGGTATGGAGGACGACTTCTTAGAGGGTGGGGCCCGCGATGTGGTTCTCGGTAGCCAGCCTATCAGCTCTGCATTCCCTGGCAGCATCCCTTCAGGTGAACGCTCTCGTACAGGCGAAGGCAAGCGCATGAACTCTGAAGGGGACATGGAAATCATCGACAATGAAGGAATCTTGCGACAGGACGGAAATGATACTGGTGATCGACATTTGGTCGTGGGTGATGCTGCTGTCAGATCACAGTTCAGTCGAATGAGGCCATTGTTCCCATCTACACTACGTCTAACACCCACCGAGACTACTCCTCGCCCGTCGGATGCCATAGAGGGTCACCAAAATGACGACAACGAAGAAGACGAAGATGGTGCTAGCGAGACTAGTGGATCAGACCAATCGAGTTCGTCCGTGGCTAGTGGCACCTGGCCCGCTGAACACATTCTCGAAGAAGATATCATTGAGGCCCTTGGGTCCTATATTCCCGCTCGAGAAATCACGGATCCAATTGATCGGGCTCGCGTCGCGGATGCCGTTTATCACAGAATGCGCGAAGACGATCAGAGACGTGTGTTTGACGCCCGTCAGCGTGGAATCGACGAACGTTGGAGGCGCCGGGCTTTCTATACGGATGAAGAAGATGGCGCCACTGTCCCTGAGGGGTACGAAAGGGATCCAGCCATCGATGACTCCAGCGATGAAGACCTAGATGAATCCGAATCGCGCCCACCCTCTTTCCGTTCGCGGTCCTCATCCAAGGTGCGATTCCAGGATGATCTCAATGACGACGAGTACGACATTCGATCCAACCCATCAACCTCGTCGCGGAGTATTCCTGTTGGCGAGCGATGGGGTGGCTTTGAAATCCCAGAGATCGAGAAAGACGTTGGGAAAGAAATATTGTATCAAGTCACGCAACAGGGATTCAACGAGCTTCTAGATATTCTGTTCAAGCCAAAAGAGGACCTTTTGATGGAGGTCTATCGCACGCGAGTTGAACGCAAGGTCTGGGCTCGGGAGATTGAACTCGCAGGAAAAGAGGACCCCTCAAAACACGCCGCAACCGAGAATGTTCCAGCTGAGGAGGAACTTGAGGAGGTTATCAACGACTCACCACTTGATGATCTATTACAGCGCGCTGGTTACGGAGTTCGGAGCCCAGTCCTGGCGCCTGCCAATACCGGACCTGTGCTAGCTCCTTCGTCGCTGGAGCCCACCGCCTCAGATGATGATGGCGACGAAGACGAATATGAAGAGGATGATGACGACGTGCGACCAACTCATCTCGCGGATCCCGGAGAAGACACCGGATTTGGGCAAGCGCGGCCCTTCGAGGAATCCGATACAGCGTCCGCCACTTCGTCTGATTATGACGATGATATCGCTATCTCTCAAGCATCTGGTGCGGAGCCATCCAGCCCGATTGTTGGAGACGATACACTTGACTACGATCCAACCCTCCCACAGTATCGTCCCGACGGTCCATCCGTGATGGCCCCAGAAGTGTTCGATGAATCTGACTCTGACCCCGAAGAATCACCAACTACACACACAAATCCTGATCTCCCTGCTCAATTCCGACTCCAGCCTGGGACCACCTCTCTTCCCGCCCCTTCTTCTCCCCACTCCTCCCCAGAAGCCGAAGCCACAGCACCCAAGCTTCCTCCCTCTCCTATGCAACCACTCCCACCCCCTCACCGGATCAATGACCAGCCTCGTGAAGCTCCTGCCCCACGTCGACCTTCGCCCCGGACCCTAGCCCGGTGGGTCTATTTAGACCAGGTAGAACGTGAGAACAAGGAACGTGGCAACGGTGCGAGACTTAACTTTGAAGAGTTTTCGCGCCGTATGGCTGCTGACCGGGGACGCCGACTGGCATTTGTGGCCAGTTGGATTGAGATGGCTAGCTTTTGATTCTGAGAGGGTTCCTAGGTTAACCTAGGTGTACATTATTGTAATTTAGCGGTACTAAGGAGTTGATTTAGATTTGTTAGTACAATAACAACTTGATTAACTACATTAACCACATTAACTACAAAAAAAATAAGCGTCTGATTTTCTAATTTCCCAATTTCAACTAGGAAATTAGAGCTCGGCTCTACTCCGTAGCCTAAATATCCATATTGATCCATCTTATATTTAACACCCACTGACTAGTCCTATAGTGGGGTTTGCAGGACCTCATTTCTCTTTCTCCAAGGTACTATCTCTATCACCGAAAATACCTCGTAAATAAGTCTTTTATGGCCCAGCCTTAGAGGCCCGCCACCCGTATTACGTGCTTTTGGAGACCAATGGCTCACTTTGCACCATTGTTATCACCAGGATATTGGTGATTATCTTCCAAATTTCCCCTTATCGATTTAACTATAACTCAGAGTTCTTCAACCGTCTCCAGTATGCAAGCTAGCACCAGGTATCCCCTCTCGCTGCCTTGGGGTTCTCGGGCGAAAGATAAAACCAAGAAATCGCGATCATGATGGGTCCTGACGTGCTGTGATATTTTGTTCAACAAGATTCGCAACATTGGGACCCATGGCCATGCAGTACTAATAGTAGCTCTCTCCGGTGCTATAATGCTATGATCTGTATAGCAACCTCTCACATCTATCATGGCTTTCGAACGTCTGGCCCGGTTCTACCGGTCATGTCTACTCCAGATTATCCTTGTCGGATTAGTTGCCTTCTGCGAGCCCGGGATTTGGACTGCTCTCAATAACCTTGGAGCTGGAGGAAATGCCAAGGTAAGTCACCTGAATGTTGGGAATCTGCGTGACTGCCGCTAACATATCGTGCAGCCTTACCTGAACAATGCCGCCAATGCCTTGACATATGGACTCATGTCGGTAGGCTGTTTCCTTGCCGGTGGTGTCACCAATAAGATTACTGCCAAATGGACCTTGTTCATCGGTGCCGCATTCTACACTCCCTATGCGGCTGGTCTGTACTGCAACAATCGTTACGGTAACGAATGGTTCCTCTTGCTTGGGGCCGCTCTCTGTGGAATTGGAGCGTCTCTTCTATGGGCTAGTGAGGCTGCCATTGCAGTTGGATATCCGGAGGAGGAGAAAAGAGGACGGTAAGTTGAAACTACATACCATCTACTTGGTGTTATTAAACTAATCATTATGTTTAGCTACGTTGCAATCTGGATGAGTATCCGGCAGTTAGGACCACTTGTTGGCGGTGCCATATCCCTCGCTCTCAATATCAACGCTTCGCATGTTGGCAAGGTTACCTACACAACATACCTAGGGCTTGTTGCCATCTCATCCCTCGGAGCTCCATTTGCGTTGCTGCTATCACAGCCGCAAGATGTTATCCGAAGCAATGGCACCAAGATCCCTTATATGAAGAAAACCAGTCTCTCTGTCGAGGCTCGCGCTATCTGGAAGCAACTTCGCAATAAGTACATGCTGTTACTCATCCCGGTCTTCCTTGCGGGACAGTTTGGTGCAACTTACCAGGGAAACTACTTGACAAGTATGACATTTCCGATCCTCCTTCGTCAGTTATGAATGGCATCGCTAACAGGGAACTCAGCTTATTTCACCGTCCGCTCCAGGGCCCTTGCATCTTTCCTAACCGCCGTGGTCGGCGCCGCCGCTAATATCACGACGGGCCTATTCCTAGATCTGAAATTTTTGTCTCGAGGAACGAGGTCTAAAATTGTGTACATCTTCGTCCTTGTCTTTGTCACAGGGTCTTGGACATGGAACGCCATCGTCGAGACGAAACTCTCCCGCATGGCCGAGCCACCCGCCTTCGACTTGGGCGATGGTCCCTTCTTCAACTCGGCGTTCACTGTCTATATCTTCTTCCGGTTCTTCTATGAAGTGCTGCAAACCTATATCTATTGGTTGATGGCCGAGATTAAGGGAGCACAGGGAGATGGCGATATCGCCAGAACAACGGGTATCCTGAGATCGTGGGAGTCCATCGGCAGTACGATTGCTTATGCGGTCGGCGCAACTCATTGGCCCAACTTGAACCAGATGTCACTGGGCTTTGCACTATGGGGTGCTACGATCCCATTCACACTTCTTGCGGTGTTCGGCAATTGGAATGTTGCTGAGACACCCGGGGTGGAGGAGGAGGAACAAACAGACAGTAGTAGCTTGGAGGCACAGAGGGTGGTCGTCAATTCCGACGGGAAAGATTAGATATTAGATATATTCCGTTGTTGTCATGTGAGAGATTTGGCATAGAAACAATCCTGGTGATTGTTACTTCAAATCTAATAGAAATCGTGCCCGTGTTGATGTTGATACCCTAAATATATAACTGAATGGCCATTTTAAAATATTATAATATATGCCTAAACTTCTCCCGTGGATCCACTTCTCGGTTACTAATACCACACTGAATTATCCAATGCCCATCTAGTTATTATTCTAGGGGTGAATGTCAATTCGACGTGGATATGGGTTGTGTAGTTGCATCATATTTGCAATTCTCGTTCATAAAGTCAAATATGGCTGGGTCTTCCATCAATTGGCCCAAGTGGTCGAGCAGTTTCCTGGTCTAGCGGTTATGATTTTCCGTTAACAAATGCGACTAGCATATGTTCCGGAAAGGTTCTGGGTTCGATTCCCAGGGAAACTATTTTTTTGCGCTTTTTGTATATTTAGCCTCATTGTTTTTTGAGCCCTTCTTTCAAACAGTTTGAGTCAATTGATGCGACTGATATGTAGCAGAGCCCACTAGAGCCATGCGACTATGCTTGTGGACATCTGAGGAACAATGCAGCTCAAAACCTGGAATGTATGGAATATCAGCAGAGGAAAAACAGAAGTGGACCACCCAAGCGAGTCAAATTAGAGACATAACATAAATCACAGACATAATATCATACTGCATACAACAAAAAACCAGAAAAACTAGAAACAAACCGAAATCATGACATGGTCGTGTGACAGGAAAAACGTATGAAGCATGGTAAACATATCAAGACAACCAACCCGAACGCCAGAAGAAAAATAGAAATCAAACCGAAGAAAACCAACAAAACCACCACCCTATAACTGATTCCGTTCGTACCGCTGACTGACGTATATATCTGGGGGAGATGTACACATTGTGACCTGCGGCGAGCGCTGGACGATTATTGTCCTTCCAGCCCGAGGGAGTGGATTTTAATCCCTCCTTCATTTGGACTGGATAGCTGCCTAGGTTTTTGTTCTGTTTGGAAATAACAAAGGCTCCAGGATACCTTTCCTCCAACGGGGTTCAAGCGTGACAATAGGGTATTCCGAAGGGACTTGAAGAAAAATGAAGAGAAAAACCCGAGAAAAACAGGACTATCCAAAGGGCTTCCATGGGAAGACAACAGAAACAGAACAGTGGCATCCAAGTGGGGATTTAAAAGACGGCCATTTTCCATCCAGTGGATTCAAGGGTTTGCGAATCTTACACGACGGGGGCCGCGTCGCTCCAGAATCAATTTCTCGGTGTCAACATAAAGACAATCGAGAAACTGCATGGCGCTAGAGTCCCTCAGGATCTTCGCGACCTGAGTTCCCGCCGAGATGAGCTGCAACACGTTGCGGTCATCCTTGACTGGCCTAGACTGGTGCTTGGCAGCATGACGCATCTCCAGGGAGTTCTCCAGGACAGTGATGAGTTGTTTAATTTGGCGGTTGTACAAGAGATGAGCGGGGATGCGGCGTGTAGTAGCCAGCCGTTTCAAGAGGTATACCCATTCAGTCCACTCGCGGTCCGAGGGGACCTTCACGGGTCTTTTGTCCTGCTCGATAGGAACACGGAACTGGTACTTTGCAATGAAGTCATAGGCACACTGAGACAGACGGTCGTTGACCTTGTGGAGGATGCTGTCTTGCTCGCCGGCATCGAGGTTAGTAGGGAGCTGGGGAAGCTCTTTATCCTGGGCTGCGACAGCCTGTGGAGAAGGTGGCTCCAAGAACTGATGCGGGCCATCAAATTCATCCCGGTTGGATGTCCGTCTCTGGGAATGGTAGTGTGGGCTTCCTCTGGTCCTCTCGGCAGCTCGCTGGCCGTTTCTTTCCATGACATACTCTGGGCTTTCCGGGGGGTTCATGGGTCCAGGGTCCCGCCTTAGGGATTCTCGAGGCAGATGGCTCGGGTGGCTCCATTCATGAGTCCTGGGTTGTGGGTGGGCCTGTCCGGCTGGAGGATAGGATAAACGTCCCGTGGGTGGGGTAATCATGTGGCTGTGGCTATCCAGAGGGACTGGACCTCCGTGGTAATGGGTCTGGTGGTTAGAATCCATTGGACCGAAAGGCAATTGGCGATCGTCTCTGTAGCCATATCCGTGGGGAGTAGATGGTGACCTTTTACCACTTAGCAAAAGGAACGAAAGCGATTTTTGTCGATGATAATTTGGGAGGAATTTGCAATGAAGTGAACGATGACCAAACAATACCTTTGCTGATAGACCACTGGAGGGGTTGCTGGGGTTCCATACATAGAGTGCTGAGCCATGGTGCTGTTACGGAGTATGAGTTTCGGATTCCAAGAGTTTTGGCACGGAAATAGAGAAGGGAATGGCGATGCTGATTCTGCTGACCTATGGCGAGACCGAGTATCAAATCTAGAGTTGATAGAGCTTGCACAAGAACCAAGACTTGCTGGCAAAGAGAACGGATAGGCCGATCCACCTGCAAATTGATGAGGAAGGACAGGAAGCATGAAGAATTCAAGGCCGGAGTATTACCACAGCCTAATATAACAATTGAGAACAATATCTAGAAGAACCAGGAGGGAAAGAAGATATATATTAGATGCGTTGTTGAGCAAATGGATTCACGAACACTGAGAAAAGGGCAGGTATTATAGACATTTTTGAAAAGCCACTCTCCCCGGGCCGAACGAAATTGGAAAGTGTGCCTGACAAAGGGGATCAGAGCCAACCCATGTTTATGCAACGGCAGTGTAACTGGACTCAGAGCCGCGCTAGTGGAATTTACGCCAGTGGCGTTGGTGGAGACAATATATGGAGATGAGGCCTGTGTTGCCTGGGCACTCTTGATTTCAAGAAAGCCAATTGCGTAACAGGACATGGACCGTCCGTGCCGTTGACTTTGAAGATCTCGATCGATCAAGAATAAGACCGGTGTGCAAAGCTCGTTGGCAGCCGAGGCGCCATGAGACGCCTCTGTAGGTGCATGGTATGAATCCCCACGGGAAACATTGCATCTAAAGCCCCGATCTTCATGAATTAGGGGAGAAGAAGCAACATGCTGGGTGTCGTACCACCATCACTTTGATTCGATAATTGTATTGGGGCAAAGCCTCGGGCAGCAAAGCTGGTGTTGGGTACAAAACGCAAGGACCAGGGTTCTGGATTTGGACATTGTTGACCTATGGATACCCAAATGTGCAGATAGAAGATGTGATCTGCACCCTCGAAGGTCCTGGAAGAAATGTGAAGATGAGCTGAAGGAGGTGTAACATGCAATTCCCGTGATGCGCGCAGTTAATTTGTGTTGGGCACTCGGGCTTTTTTTTGGGGCCCAATGCAATAAGCCGCATGGGCCATGTCTCTCTTCTGGAGACTGTTCGGGAGATCCGGGTGAAATAAAGAGTAAATCCGATATCAAACTTTTCAAATGTGGAGAGCTCAGCTGTTCTGGTGGTATACGATCTACCCTTGCAGCCCAACAAGAAGCCCAATGCCTATGCTTCCAAGGTCGAGGTTGCCTAGAAATTATTGTTATCAATAACACTTTGAACGGTCATAGGAGGTATGATGAAGTCATTAAGCTAAGGAGCACTTCAGGCCCTAGAAAATCACAACAATCAGAGTATTTCCATGTTATCATCATTTGCCAGGGAGCCGGAAATTCAATGTGATTCTTCATCAACGTGACATGTTACTGTTTTTGCCGGCTTCCACCATTGGGGATGGGTAATTTTACCCCGAGACGAGAAGCATAATCCTGGATTGTTTCGGTGAGTATAATAAAAAAGTTGTGCTTGTGATATCTGCTTACCTCGCAACTCAAACGGATGGCTTCTTCGATACCAATGCGCGCCTCGTACCCCAGAATATCCCTAGCTTTTTTGCCACTAGCATATCGAATGGCACATGCATCTTGTACACTTCCACGGCTCAAAGTTGTCGTTGTTCCCATCAACCAGGTGACAGTCTCACATGCCAGTCCGGCGAAGTAAGCCAAACTCTTTGGGATATGCATTTCGAAGGGCGGGACGTGCCCAAAATGCGCCCAGATAGCCAGGCAAAAATCACGGAAGACGATAGGTTGGTTGTTCTGAATGAAAAAAGCCTCGCCTGCAGCGGTGCGAGACGATAGCAGATTCTCTATGGCCAGGATGTGGGCATCGGCGGCATTGTCGACGTGGGTGATATCCCACAAATTGAAGCCATTTCCGATCAAAAAAGGGGTTTCATATTTGGCTATGCATGCGTGAATAGATGGAACTAGCTGGTAGTCTCCTGGTCCGCAGAGCACCGATGGCCGGAGGGCACATGTCACCATTTCGTTGCTTGAGGCCTTTAGAACGAGTGCTTCTGCAGCAGCCTAGGTATCATACCAAAGCGTGTTAGTAACTTAGTTTCTGCCAATTCTGAGAATCTTGTTGAGGGGGATCGGTAGTTCCAACCTTGGACTCTCCATAAATGGTTGACTTGAATGCCAAAGGCCATTCTTCGTTGATGTTAGGATGAGCAGTACGCGTATCATCGATCACCACACAGCAACTGCTCGTGTATATGAAGACTTTGACCCCACTGTTCTTGGATATATCCAGCATATTCTGTGTACCTTCAAAGTTGATCATCCATACTTCTTGTTCAAGTCGGCGCCCGAATCGTTCGGCCAGATCTGGGACGATTCCAGCAGTGTGGACAACGATATCGGGCTTCACGGCCTCGAATACTTTACTCAATGTTTCAGTTAAAGTGATATCCACCTGCATGCATGTAGTTCCCTCTGGGAGGGCGTGCTCGGGTCGTGGGGGACTTTGGTCGATGACGGCAATGAGAAAGTTTGGGTGTTTTTCTGCAAGAGCCCGCACTATTGCCGAGCCTACAAAGCCAGTGCCACCAGATATGAGGACTTTCTTTGCTGCCTCAATCATTGTGCAGGTTGATGGAGTGTAAACGATATGGGAGAGGATTTGATGTGGAGGAAGGTTGAACCGGGTACGAAACTGTGCGACATCACAACTACTTACGACATAAAACAATACCGCATCACCTCGAGACATCTCAAATGATATTTGAAATGACACCAGAGAGAGCCTACTCAAACCACCAGAATATTTTGTTCAATTCATTCAGATTTGAAGGTGGTTCTTGTCCTTGATCCCTAAACCATAGTCTAGTTCAATCTCAAAGACGACTCTCATGGTTATGCTTGAACACTATCCTTGTTCTTTTAGTCTTCGTCCTTGTCCTCTTCATCTTCATCCTCGTCGTCTTCGTCCTCATTCTCTTCGTCCTCGTTCTCTTCGTCTTCGTCTTCATCCCATTCTTCCCCATCCTCATAACCATCAGGATCCAGTCGACCCAACACTTCTTCTATTCCAGGATGAATACAATAGTCATTGGCCAACTCTCCCAATTCCTGTAACTTTGGCCACAACGATTCCGGACTCGATTTATCCTCTCTGATCTCTCTGATTTCATCCGCCGTCATAGAATCGAGGATTTCCAACATCCCTTCCACAAGAGAGCCATCCCATTGGAAATGCTTTTGAACCTCATGACCCACTGTATCATTGGAGGAAAGCGCAATTGTCTTGCCGATTTTGCGTAAGACAGAGAGTCCATTGAAGCGTGTCTGGAAGTTTGTGAATGGTCCACACTGGTTCGTGATCGATTTGATGGTATCAACGACATCCTGGGCTACTTCGAATGAGACATCGTACTGTGCCCCACCGCGCATAGAGAGATATGTGATGTTGATCGATTTCCATACTGAACTCGAATAATGGTCGAAGTTGATAATGCGATTTTGCTCTTTCTCCCGAAGGACGCGAATGGTATCGTCCACCATGCTCATAACGTCAGGGTGAATTTGCGCTGCTTGTATGAGAATGTCGGTGACAGTTTGTGAATCGAGGTGCTGGATTTTCTGGGAAATCTCCTCTCGTAGCGGCGCTGTCGTATTGATGTGAGCATCGCCAATAGTATTGGTTCGCGCACGTTTAACGCTTTGGGGTCCAGCCATGGTGGGTGGTTCTATGCCTGACGATCACTGAATGAGTCAGGGGGACAAAGAGTCCACGATAGGACAAAATGATCTTGTAGGGTAAATGAGGTGATGTAAGAAGAAGGAAGTTGAAGAGCGCAAATAATGGACCATAAAACAGAGAGGTCAAACAGACATATGGGGAGTGGCTACGGGGGGTGGATCACGAGGATATCTGATTAACTTAACACACCTGGGCATGTTTCTGGATGTTTCTTAGCCACATGGATCGGATTATTGAACCGCACCGTCAATGATATAGGGAGCATCAACAGCCAATTATTCGAACATACCCATGATGATTTGGCCATGGCCATTCGCAACACTATTTACCTACACTATACCCCTAGCACTTGGGGTATTGTCAATGGGGCATGAGTATAACCATAAAACTAGCCCAATAAGTGCTACTAGATATTGTAATAAGCACATCCATGGAAGAGGAGTACGGAAATATTTCAAGTCATAATCTATACACTGTGTCACATTGAGGACAGCTGCAAAATCACCAGCAGAGCACAGAATGCGAGATACGCAGACATCTAATATACAGATCCTTGACCCAGGTATTATCCCAACAGTCACAAAAAGACTAATCTCGAAAGGAGAAAGCGCTGCGACTAACCAACAAACTCCAAAGTAAATGCAAGAAGAGAAAACAATCTCCCCGGTGGGTGGCTCCCCCAAATCAAAGATAAGCCACAAGGACAATCGCAGACTTATAGCACACGGCACAACACCAGCCCACCAAGCTTTTTCTCAACACACTCGCGAGCTTCTAGAATCCCTTGGTCTGTAGAGAGGTAGAGACTCTCACCCGGCGAGCGAAGTCCAGCCACAAACCCGGATTCCTCACCACGCACAACTCGGCGCAGTCCCTCCACATCAATGTTGACCCGTCGGGTGGGCTTGCTGACCATCTTGATCTTGCCGAGGACCGACTCGTTCTGCCAGTACTTCAGGCCCAGCCACAGCCGCCTTGAGGCGACATTATCGCGAGTTATTGGCTCAATGCCTTCGGCTTCATCGTTGACTGCAGGGTAACCGAGAATGCCATGGGCTGGAGGAGGAGTCGGACCTCCGCGGGCCACGGAGGAGATGTAGCCGGAGTTTTGGAGGGCGAGGGAGAGCTTCAGGTGGAGGTTGCTGTTGGGGATAGAGGTGAGGGCGAGACGGGCCTTGGTAGCATTGTTCAGGTGGGAGCAGACGGCAGAAAGGTTGACGAGAGACATCTTGATTTCGCGACGGTAGCAATTAAGCTCTACCGGCGGCCGTTCGGCGAGGAAAGAGAGCGATGGAATTGATCGGTTTTGGAAGAGGAAAAAAAAACGGGGATCCCGGATACACGAAAGCGAAGACCGAGAAGGACCACAGTGGACTGCAATTGTCTGGGGAAGCAAAGACACGGTAGGAGGTGTTGTAGCGCCGACTGAAGCGATGATCTGGGATGGAAATTTTCGGACAAACTGTACTTCCGGGTCACGGTCTGGTCCAGGTACCCGGTACTTTCTCGCCCGTAGCGGATAGGTGTGATGCCCAGGTACTAGTACTGTCCTATCACATCACATCTACATCTAAGCGCCCAGCTTGCATGGCGGTTGATGCTGGCGTTTCACAGGCTGAATACCCCTCAGTCTAAAAAACATAAATAATAAACGTAAGTTCCTCTTTTTCTTTTTCTCATCTATTTGCTGCCATCGTTGTATACTTGCATTCCGTACTTTGAATTGTCAGACATGCCACCATCAGCGGGCGAAGAGCGTCTTGTGACCGTGTGAGTTGAACTGACTTCCCCGCAGGTCTATAGGAAGCAGTTCGTGGATTGTGTCTAACAGCCGGAATAGTTTTGCAGATATCCACTACTACTTCACAGAGCCAACCCGAAGACCTTCACCATATCACCACCGCTTTGATAAGGGCTCCTATGTTTATGTTTACCATGACCCTTTTCAGAACAAGGCGCGAATAGAAATTGCCAATAATCCTGGATCTCCAGAGCAGGATGCATTTTGTGGCGGCCTGAGCAATGTTCATATACGACACTCTGCTCAATTCCCGACACTATGTACATTAACAGTTGATGCACACATGGCCTCGCCCCAACATCAATATGCGCATGATACCCCTCAACGTGAGTGGCGTCTGCCTAGCGGAGACCCACGCAATGACCCCAAGGAATTCCGCGATTTCCCTCGCTTGCATACATTGGATATCTACTTCTGGACCCAAGAAGATGCAACCGACTTTCTGGACACTGTCGTCCGGCTTCTATCTAGTTCCCAGGTTGAGACAGACCGAGAGCCGGCCCCGCAACCACAGCAAACCATGAGCTCTGTAGTTCAGCAACTTGAGACCATTGCAGTCTCCGACCCTGCCTATCAGAATGGTCAAACACGCAACTCAAGATCCGAGCCCACAAGCACAGCGGCACCAGTGCCACAGGCGCCGCCACAAACCAGCAGCTTCCCCCCGCCCCCTCCAAGCGGACCTCCAGTTGACCAACGATTAAGCGCTGGGTCTACTCCCGCCGAGGAAAAGAAAGACCCAGCTAGCTTCGCTCCGCTCCCATACAATCCTGCCGCCCCAGCCGCCCCAGAGCCAATCCAATACCGCGAGAAGACCCCGCCGCCAGAGGACGGGATGAACGGCACCGGCCTCGCAGCCGCAGTGGCGGCCGACAGCGGCATGCCATATACGCCCCCGCACCAAATGATGGGGGGTGCAGGAGGCGTGGGTGGATATGCATCCCCGCCCCCCTCAACCCCAGGTTTGCAATACGCAGGCCCTCCAGTCGCAGCACCGCCGGCATTCGCCTCCCCTCCGCCCAGTGCGGGGCTGCAACATTCAAACTCTTTCTCCACTACCCGATCATCGGTCCACAGCCCCGGGACGCCTGTCCCTTCATACTCGCAGTCGTTCCTCGCCGGGCAGGGAGGTCAACAGTACAGCGCAAGCCGGCAAGGCTCAATGTCGTTCGCTCCGCCGCCGCAAGATCCGAATGCCCATCTATATGACCAGCAGGTCTATGGGGCTGCCCAGGCCCAGCCGCCACCTCAGTATCAGGCTGGGGCGGCGGTGCCCGTGGGCGGGTTCTCCAACTACTCGTATGACCAGACTCAGGCGCAGAAGCAGCAGCAGCAACCACCTCAGCGTGCTGGCTCTGAATATGATATTCACAGCCAGGTATATAGACCCACTGAGGTGGAAGCTGGCTCTCACTATCAGAAGTATGCACAGAAGGCCATGAAGAATCCTGGACAGCGGCCAAGGAAATTGGAAGATAGAGCAGAGCGATTGGAAGGTGGCGTGAATAGGTTCCTGAAGAAGCTTGAGAGGAAACTTTGAGCGTAGTTTTTTGGGTGGATGTTTGAGATTCTGCATCTTTCTTTCTTGTCAGAGATCTCTGCTGGTCATGATCACCTTGAGTGCTTGCTATTACTAGCCTGGCTGCTGAGCAGTCCTAGGGAACTCAGGATAAGAATATCGTTTAGCTTTTCGATTTGATGAGAAAATGAAGTGCTTATTAGATACGAACCGAGAAAATTAAATAGTAGTATAAAAGCTTTGAGCCCCGCTATATTGATAAACCAAGATGCTAAATTGGATAATCCCCCAAAGCGCTAAGAATGATATGCTCACGAAATTGGTACAGAGTATGCAAGAGATAAACAAAGAATAGTAAGACAACCCAAAACACTGATAGATGTAAAAATGCTAGCATAGAGTAAGAAAGAGACACGGAAGAATAGATGGTGAACAGGTTGAGGGTAAGCCTTGGTAAATGAAAAGAGGTTCACACTTGGTGAGATAGAAGACAACAGTGAAGAGTATGATCAGAGAAGATTAAAGGTTGATCCAAAATTTACCAGAAGCGGAGATGGACCAGCGAAATCCATTTCAGATAAACGCAGTGCAGTTCTGATATAGAGCGCCTAGTTTAATGCCAGACTGGCAATATCGATGGCGATGTTGCTCGACTCAGCCTCAGTTGCGGGCTGCGCATCAGTGGACTTGGCCTCAGCGGGGTTCTCCTCTGCGACCTCGGCCAAAGTTTCGGGGACAATAACCTCCTTCACTGGCGCATCATCTTCTTTTTCGGGAACCTCGACCTGGACCTCTGTCGATTCCGGAGTCTCGAGGGTTGCGGTAGTGGTCTCAGCAGCCTTCTCTTCCTCAGCATCCTCAGCGATGGGCTCAATAAGGGCCTCAGCAGGAGCATCCACCTCAGCCTCGGCTGAAGCCTGGACTTTGTTGGAATCGACAGGCTCAGCTGACAACTCCGTAGCATCTTCGACTGGGACGGGGTCGGAGGAGCTCTCAGTCACTGTCTCCTCGACAATCGGCTCAGACACTTCAATCGACTTCTCGGTTGGCTCAGCAGATGCAATGGCAACTTCCGGGGTGGGTTCCTCATTTTGAGCAGGGGAGGCGGTCTCCTCAACTGGCTTGGTAGCAGCCTCGGGCTGTTCCACATCTGCAACCGGAGCGGGTTCTACTGTTGCAGTCTCCTTAGAGCTGGCTGTGATGGGCTCCACGATATTCTCTTTCTCACTTTCCTGCTTCATTTGGGAAGGCTTATGTCCATCCTTCTGTGGGACATGTTCCTTGTTCAGAGGCTGGGATTTCTGACTCTGAGGTCGAAGGGCAGTGCTCTTAGGCTTCACCTGGTGGACGCCACGATCTGGAACCTTCCCAATTGACGGCCTGGGGGCCTTAGAAATAGAGCTTGTTCTGGTGACAGGCTTTACCTCGGGCTTTTCCTGGGGGTGGGACTTGTTCGCAGAACTAGCAGTAGGCCGCATCATTCTCGCAAGGAAACCCTCATTGACCGGCTTAGTGCTTGTATCATGAGCTGCTTGAACGGGCAGCGAAGGGCGGGAAGATTGTCTGCGAATGCTGGTACTAGGAGTAGTGGCACGCGACTGAGCTCCAGTTGCGCTTTTGAGGGATGAAGGTTTTCTTGTGAGGGTTGATGCAGTGGTAGTAGTGCGAGTGCTCGGAGCACCTGTGCTTCCTGGCTTAGCAGCAGGTGCGTGGGTTGACGTATTTATCGAACCGGGTACACGGGCAGGTCTCGGTGGGGATTTCATTCCTGGCTTGCTGGATGCACCTGCGGCATGTGGCTTTGAGGTATCCTGTACCGGTGCTGGGCCGCGGGTTGGCCGTGCTGTTGTCTTGGGATTGAGTGAGACACGACTCGGTTTGTGGGCCAGGGAGTTGGCGCGCTCTTTAGCCACTTCGCGAGCCGTAGGCTTGGAGCTTGTATTGTGAGTAGCAGGCTTTGCACCAGTTGAAGCTGTAGTAGTTGGGACAGCCTTGCTCGGTGCATGGCGGGCAGGCCCAACGGAAGAAGACTTCTTCTTGGTCACTACCGATGAATCTGACTTTTGCGAGTGAGAGTCGGAGCTTGTGGACTTAGAATCCGTGGCGGCAGGCACCTCTGTCTGCTTTGGCGGGGTGTTTCGCGACCGAAGTTCAGAATCAGTGCTCGCTGCGGGTTCCTCCTTGGCAGGATGATTCCGTTCCGTCTTTGTTCCATTGGTTTCTTTCGGTCGACCCTCAGCTAGTATCTGTCCCAAAGTCGCGTTCTGTGTGTGGTCCATGCGACTGAGCGGGGTGGGAGAGATCATGCCCTGGCGGCCTGACTCCGCATCCCCCGAATTGATCTTCGGCCCAAACATTCCAGGACTATCGCTACGCCCGCTTGTTTTCCTCAACGGCGAAGAAGGATTCGACTGAATGACCCCGTCCACAGTGATAAAGCTAGCCCGAACCTTGGACAACTGCCGAATTGTTCCTGACGAGTCTGACGCAGTTGGGGATCGGCCACGAGGCGGAGGAGAGGCGATGGGACTTTGGCCTTCAAACTTGGCTAACAAGCTGCGTACCCCAGGGTGATGGGGATTGTTATCGGACATTATCGCTGAGGGTACGTCAGTCGAACAAGGGCGTGTATGCAATCGAGGGGAAGCTGGAAACGCGTGTGCAGAGCACAGGGGTGCTCCTGAAATCAGGTCGAAACGGGATTGTTGTGACGACTAATCGGATACAGGCAGATCCCACTGCATGTTCCCAGGAGGGTTCGGGTTCAACGCGTCCAAGTCGGATAGAGAATTGGTATGAGACAAGAGGACACAAGGTGTGAAGAGCCGATCCAGAAACTATTACATACTTACGCGCTAGCTAAGGCTAGCGTATCCAATTGGCTAACGCCTTACGTTGTACTCCGTACTCCGTACTCCATAACAGACCTCCCTGTCTCAGGGGCTTTCATTTCTATGTGACAGGTGACTTCATCCCTGAGGGGTCTTATTTAATTTTACTGTACGTAGTACGGAGTACTTAAAACCCCCCTATGAGGGTTGAAACATGGGATCTGAACACATACACAAGTGGGTCTCGAGTAAGGGGCATAATATGCCTGAGGCAGAATATCAACACAGGTCTAACCGAACATGAATTTTCCCCGATTTGGGCCCTATTTGCAAGATTTTGATGGCTTTAGTACAGAGTACTATCTATATGTGTATAGGGATATACCTGTTAGCCAAGGCATATGTCTCAGCGCGGGGTAACTATACCCCGTAGCTTTGGAGGAAATTATATGAAGGTGGTAAGATCATAGCCAAGAAATATAAGTCTCATAATTAACGTTGGTACCTAGGGAGGTCGATAGTACATGGATGTATATCACATCGATTCTATCAAAGCAAAAGCCCAATTACCCCTGGACTTTATACACGGCCATGTAACCAGCTGTATACCTTACCTTTCAGCCAATGAGAGGGCCTCGGGGTATGTCCGATGGAAACACGTGACGGTGCCAGACCCTCCTATACGAGGCTTCTCCAACTTTCTTACGGAGTAGCTTCTTTGATTTAGTATGAACTTATGATTCACAATGGTCGGTGTACCTCGGAGCAATGGTTGCTCACTATGCGTTAAACGACGAGTCAAGGTGAGTGGATTATCTACGTGAAGTCCGGTTAAAATGTCCCACGCCATATTGATAACGCCACAGTGCGATCAAAGACTTCCTGGTTGTGCTAAATGCGAGAAGTATGGGCAATCTTGCCCTGGATATGACCGGGGCTTCAAGTTTATAATTGGAAAGCCATACCGGGATCGGCGTCAACCCAACCCAAGGAATGATGAAAAAGATGGACGTTCTAAGAGCGCAACCTCGAATTCTAAAATTGACCTTGAGCCAACCTACCAGACTCTGGCCCAGAGAGAAAAACCATATTCTCTCATTTCCGTGGAGGTGAATGTTGTGCAATATCTTTGTGTTCTCATTGATGATTTCTCTCAACCATACACTTCCACTCCAACACATGTTGTGGTCCGATGGCTTGGATTTCTTCCCTCCATTTATGGCCAAAATCGGGTATTAGATGCCACCATAAGGTCTTTTACCGCACATCATTTTGGACGCAGTACTCAAAATACCCAAATGGTGTCGTATGCCCGATCAGCTTATGGGGAAGCCCTGCGTGGGCTCCGGAAATCGCTGGAAACTCCTGCGGAAAGTCTATCGTCTCATATATTTTGTGCGGTAGTACTTCTATGCATGTATGAGGTAAAATAATTTCACACTCGAAGTGATTCATTTGTCAGTGACTGATCGTATACAGCTTTTCACAGATACTGAGAACCCAGAGTCGTGGATGAAGCATGCCAAAGGACTCAGCCAGCTGGTACAGATTCGAGGGCCAGATAGGTACAACAATCAGATTGATATAATGTTATTGAAAGCTTCCCGAGGATTGATTGTAAGTTTGAACCATGGACGTTTGCCTTTAACCTCCTTGAGAAGCATTAGAAAGCGAGTTGCAAATTGGAATAGACGCTCATATTCGAATAGGTGATGCACTCAATGTTCTCAGGCGAAGGGTGTTTTTTAGCCTCGGATGAGTGGCATGATAAGATGCGACAGCAATACACATTAGACTTATCCCCAGAAGTGCACAACAGCATTGAACTATTCTTTGCATATTTCACATATGCTCCGAGCCTGGTGCATAAGCTCTATGGTTTGAGGCATGTCGAAACTACCAGTGCCGAAGCTCTACAAACAATCTCAGAGACCCTTTCGAAAACACTCGAGATACAGATGAAACTGGCTATATGGTATGAGCAATTTGCTCAAATCGCACCACCGCCAACCGAAACTATCTCCTCGACTGGGGATGAACTATATCCGATCATCCTCACATATACAGATGTGAGCTATGCAACTATCTACTGCGGTTACTATTCCTACATGGTAATCATCCATGAACTTTTGAAAACTTGTGATTACCCTGGTGAGCATTCAGCCATGGTTGTCTATTTTAGAGACCAAATTTGTAAGTCGGTCGAATACAACAGTGTGGGAGTAATGGGTCCATATCGAATGGGGTTTCCTCTCCGCGTGGCATTTGAAATTGCAGATCCAGTGACAAGATCTTGGATCTTGAACCGTCTTCAGCAATTTTCAAACATATACGCAGCCGCTCAGCCAGAGAACTATCATACTGTCTTGTGATACAAAGCAAAGTGCATTAAACTATTCTGACTCAATGCCAACTCTCCAAACCATCCTCCAAGCAGTACCTCGCTGTGCCGTTTCACAGCCGGTCTCAGAAATGTCCAAAGTGACCTAGCTCAATTCCGCGTCGATTCCAAGTCATCATACACGATGTGCTTGGAAATGATCGACGGCCAAACCGGTTCGGCTACAGTGCGTGCTGCCAAAAGTAAGACGACAATGATGATCTCCATCAGAAGCCCCATTCCAACTAAGATGCCAATATCACCAGTGGCTGGGTTGAACTTGGGGGGTCCATACTCCAACATCAGGAAATAAATAACCCGAACCAACAAAAATGGAAGAGTCAACACTATCCAAAGCACGGCTTGGTGACCCGACTTGGGAAGAATCGCCCGCGATTTTACCCCAAGCCAACCAACAAGACCGCACACATTGGCGAATGTGACAACAAGAACAATGGATCCAGCCTCTCCCAATGCACGCATGTCAATACATCCGCCCACCACTGCTAGCATGATAGCGATGAAAATCGGGAAACGGAAGAAATGCAGAGCAAACCGTGTTGGCCTGGTCCATTTCGAATTTCCAGAACCAGTCTCTCCGGATTGTCCACTATTCGGAGAAACATCGTCAGCATATTCTTCTCCAGAAAGAAAAAAAGAGCAAAACTCCTGGGCCTAGGGACTCTTCAACATACCATCGCAATAAAACCAAGCTGATTTCAAATAAGAGCGGCGAAAGGCCCACGCTTTGCAAAATGGATTCAGCTATGAGCATTGGCTTCTCCGGATGTGAGCTCGCAAGCACCAGGGCTGAGCCCGCTATGCGAACTGTGGAGGATTTTAATAGCCATATCTTCAAAGTCGTTGGGATATCTTCCACTTACTCTGTGCCAGAAGACCGACCATACTCCACCAAGAATAGAACACGCAGCGTCCAATATTCTTGTTCTTGTTGTGGTGCCAGTATCGCCACTCTTGCATGCATCGTATGCTGAACTGCACAATATGGATGAGGGAATATATGGCAATCTCTGCAATTGCAATATTCCGTTTCCCAGTTGTGATTGGCGAATCTGATGAACGGGACAGAAGGTTGAATGCCATAGTGAGCCCTGGATTCGAAAGAATTGACAGTAGGTTTTGGGTGATAGTTGAAGCGCGGAATATAATGCAAATGAAAATTGTAATGTGATTTTGAATGCTTCAAATATCTACTCTGAGGATTGGGTTCAATCTCTGTCGAAGACTGTGTATACTCGATGCTGGTGGATCTACATCGCGGTAAGTGACCCATTTGGGTTTAGCGTTTATAGCACTTAGCGTGGGTGAACTTGAATGGCTGCAAATATTGAGTTACATGATGAAAATGGACATTTTAAAGTTCGGTGAAGCCATGAAAGAACCTTGCAAGGAGGGAAGTGCAAAAATATTGTCCATATTTAACTTCGCGAGAAGTGACCCGTTTTGGTAGTCCGGGCATGCACACATACCCATGCGCAACCTTGGAATTTTTCCCCGGCTGACTGTATCATTTTTTTTCGAAATGCATAGCTAAATAAACAAATATTAATTTTTGATATTGTTTCATCATCTGTATTCCATATAATGTGAGCTAGAAAGGTAAGTTTATAACAACGTACTCTGTATATGGTCGCCGCTTCTCCGGACCCCGGGATTGGTATATCGGAGTAACAATAATCCGATGCCGTATACAAAATGCAAAGCTCCGATGACGGCGATTATCGATTTCAAGAAAGCAACTCTTCAAAAAAGTCTATCAAAATGGCTGCTGCCCGGACACTTCGCATTGGTACAATCGCCCTTGTTTTGCGATCTTGTGGCTCGGCAATTGACTGACATGACCGGAATATTATAGGTCTCATCCCCGGAGACGGTATCGGACGGGAGGTCATCCCGGTGGGTAGCTCTATCAAGATTTATTATGCGAGCCAATTCACTGATTGAATTTTGTTTGATGGAATACAGGCCGGCCGTCGGATCCTTGAGTCTCTCCCCTCTTCCCTGAACCTCAAGTTCAGCTTCGTCGATCTCGATGCTGGCTACGAGACCTTCCAGAAGACTGGAACCGCTCTGCCCGACAAGACTGTCGATACCCTGAAGAAGGAGTGTGACGGTGCTCTCTTCGGCGCTGTCAGGTTAGCTACAATTTCCTTGTTTTAGCATGCGCAATTCCGGCTGACAATTTCTACCCACCCGAAGCTCTCCCAGCACCAAGGTCGCCGGCTACTCCTCGCCCATTGTCGCTCTCCGCAAGAAGCTCGACCTGTACGCCAACGTCCGCCCTGTCAAGACCACCGCCGGTAACAGCAATGGCAAGCCCATTGACCTTGTCATCGTCCGCGAGAACACCGAGGACCTGTACGTGAAGGAAGAGCGCACCATCGAGGGTCCCAACGGCAAGATTGCCGAGGCCATCAAGCGTATCTCCGAGCATGCCTCGTTCCGCATCTCCAACATCGCCGGTGAGATTGCGCTCCGCCGCCAAAACATCCGCTCCGCTTCCCCCGCCATCTCTACCCGTGACCAGGCCATGGTTACCATCACCCACAAGTCGAACGTGCTCTCCCAGACTGATGGTCTCTTCCGTGAGACCGCGCGCCGCGCTCTTGCCGCCGAGAAGTTCTCCTCCATCTTCGTTGAGGAGCAGATTGTCGACTCCATGGTCTACAAGCTCTTCCGCCAGCCCGAGTTCTACGATGTCATTGTCGCCCCTAACCTCTACGGTGACATCCTTTCTGACGGTGCTGCTGCCCTTGTTGGCAGCTTGGGTCTCGTTCCCAGCGCCAACGTTGGTGATGGCTTCGCTATCGGTGAGCCCTGCCACGGCAGTGCCCCTGACATTGAGGGCCAGGGTATCTCCAACCCCATTGCTACTATCCGCAGTGTTGCTCTGATGCTCGAGTTCTTGGGCGAGGAGAAGGCCGCTGCCCAGATCTACGCTGCTGTCGATGGTAACCTCGATGCTGGTCAGTTCCTTACCCCCGATATGGGCGGAAAGGCCACTACTCAGCAGGTCTTGGACGATGTCCTGAAGAGACTGTAAAAGTAAAATTGTATATAAGCCAATGTTTGCGATGATACTTAAGATATGAATCTACTGCTTTCCCTTGCATGCATTGACAACCATTTAATTTTATCAGCCCCGTGTCCATCTCAACAGTTTTACTGTTAGTTCGAGAATTGTATCACTCAACATCGCCAGACGACGGCTCCGGCTCCCAGTCAAACTTCCCTAGATTGTCATCACGTTGCTCACTCTTGCTGTGGTCTTTCTTGTCCTCCATTTCACTAAGGACCACCGAGAACACCACAGCAAGATACACCCGTCCGTTTGAAACATCCTTGAGCGTATACCGTAGCTCATGGTTATTCTCATCCACATACTTCATGATGTGTAGATTGAATCCAGGAAGACGGACAGAAAAATCTATGATGACCAGTAAGCCGACCATCCCAATCAAAAGAGCAACTCCGCGTTGCACTCACCATTGAATGCCAAATAAGGATTTCCAAAATCAGCAACATACATCCTCCCAGGCTCAAAGTCAAACTCCTTTCTATTCGCCTCATCCTGGAAATGCTTTCTGCGTTCCTCGACTGTTTCGGGAATATTAAATCGCCGACGCACATTGGCAGAATCTTCGCTATAAGAACCTTCTTCAACAATCTCATCATGGAGCGTTGGCACCTCGTCAGATTTCTTCATCTTATCTCCAATTCGGAACTGGTCCCACGATGCCAATGCCGGGCTGTACAAGTACGGGTGATCAGCATAGACATCCCCGTCTAGGCCAGGGTCAAGTGTCCACTTGACCATCCGTAGCGCTGCGTTGAATCCTGGAGGTAGCATGTCGCGGATTGGGTGATCAAAGTCATTGCCAAAGACGAGGTTGTTGCCATTCACTGGCTCTTTGAAGATGATTGAGAAGCATATGGAATATAGGTCTTTTGCATGCAGGGGGTGGTCGAAATATGGGCTTGTGGATGGTGAACTTTCGGGATAGCCTATTTGACGGATGAGCTCCGTTCTTTGATTGAATAGATGAGAGCAGAGGTATTACCTGTATAGTCTTTGATCCGTACGCAGAGACTCACAATAGCGTGATCGTTCTCGATTCGTATTGTCTCGCCATTTACAGGTACCACTTGATGCGTCTTAAGGTTGTAGTCTGCGCCTGCCGTTACCTTCAAGCGGTGATTGTGTGCTTTGGTGTCCTGGCCAACCATGATTGGGGCGGGTAGTAAGTGAGTTGATGAGATCTTGTGCGAAAGAAAGATATTGTTGCTAGAAGTTTATTTGAAGTGTGGCCAACGAATCCAATTTTATAGGTTTGACGCCCAACAACGTCATCGTTCTTGAGGACAATCAAGTATTGATACGGAGTGACAACGGTGTCGAAGTTCTTACCACAAAATTGCCCAAATAACAATAAATAAGAAAGGAGATCTTTGGTATTGAAGAGCCCGGTCTAATGTGCATCAGGATTATCAGCGTTGAGAGCTACCTAGGTACTAATTGTTCCAATGTTCCAAGTTAAGTGCGTTGTCTCTAAAATACCATGCACTCCAAGAACTGTTTGGAACAGCCAACACTGGGCTGTGAATATAGGGATGGTGTTATCTTCACAAGGTGTTCTATTTGTCGATCTATCCAAGTACCTCGTACTTTGTAGATGCAAACACTCAGCCCTGCTCAGCTGGCCCCCAAACCCAAGTTGGGAATGACATCATGGCCCCCAGACAAGCCCCAAGCTCAAATTTGATTGGCTGGAGCGGTACGTGGTACCCAAAAAGGTTAGTGCGACGAACCCTAAATGAGTGGAGATGCCAAGACTCTGCGCCTCCGGGCACCTGGTGAGATGAGCTATATAAGTAGTCTAAATTTCCCATCTAAAGAATTAATTCATTCCAAATCAAAGCCAAATCAAAGACAGAATCAATACAAGACTCAGATCTCAATTACTACCAAGCGAATACAATGGCTTCAACCGATATCCCTCAGCCCATCCAATCTCCTTCTACATCCAACAATCCATTCTTCACAGACTCAAACAAAATGGCTTCATCCGATACTCCCCAATACACCCAGACTTTATCCCAAAGCTCCGCTTTCAAAGTCGACTTCACGTGGAAGAAGTGGAAGGGCATCGTCTCCGACGTCAACAATCCTTCAGACCCCTTATACACTATCCATTATTCCCCATTCAGTCTCGCAGCCAACATGGTTTTCAAAAAGGCCCCCGAGGAGGAAGTCATCGGAATTGGAAAGCTGAATGCGGTCTCCATCAACGCCGACTACGAACTGCGCGGACAAAAGGCCCACCTTCTAGCCCAGAAACGCTGGCGTACGGTCTACACCCACCGCTCACTCAACTTCTCTGACACCGAATCTCCTGTCACAATGACATGGACCAGCGATTGCGGGTTTAAGACCTGGGACTTTGTCTGTGTCGATGAGGAGCAGATGCCCGTGGCAAAATTCTCTGCCAATGCCTGGGGTGTCACCAAAATTGGCAAGATCGAGTTCATGGGTCCCAAGGCAGATGATAGAGCTGCACAAGAGGAGATTATGGTTACGGGGATTACGTTGTTCTATTGCATGATGCTTCGCTGTAACAACATTTTCAATCTCTTCGGGGCTATCTTTGCTCGACCGGGGCACAAGCAGCATATTGAGCCTCAGCACAAAGCTATTATAAGCGAGTAGGCTTCGCAATCTGTTTGGTCTTTTTGAGTTGTTTGGGAGTTTATTTTTGTTTTGCAGACGGAGAGATATACCATTTGATTTAGAATGTTTATTATATAGTTGATCATATTACTCTTTAATACATCTATTGACTGTACACAAGTTCCGCCCTAGAGACGGGGTCATACTCGACATATAACGTGTCTAGAAATTGTATATTTGGGCTGTCCCGACATGGGTATAGACGCCCCCGCAAAATCGAAAGATTTGGTTGATATGACATCTGGAGATAGTTGAGATGTTTAAGAACGTAATTTGATGTATACAAGCCTTTATCAGAGCCAAAATAAAGACGAAAATAAATAAACAAAAGTATCGAAATTGCATAAAAATTAAGCCAAATCTGACGCGGGAAGATGCATATTAGATCCGATACCACGGCCGACATCCGAAGTGTCGGCTGATATCTCGACGCTATCCAGACGCCGCCGATCCTTGCCACGGCCAATTTCGATGTCAACAAATCGGGCGCTAACGGGAGTAATTGGCTCACTCCCAGTGCCTATTGTGGTGCCATCCGACATGAAATCGTCTGATTTCAACTCCCAATTGGCCGCACGAACTTTGGCTCTGCGACGTTCTGAATTGATAGTCTCCTTCATGTGGGCAAACGATCGAACTTGATCTGCGGCCCACTTGTCTAAGAGCTCATTTCGAGCTTCGACTTCTAGTTGAAGCTGTTCTTCAAGGCCGGTGTTGACATTCTGAAGACGCTGCATTTCACATTTGGCACCATGCAATGATGTGGTGAGGTCTGAAATGCGAACGTTGAGAGTTCCAGTCTCTGCTTCGTGTGTTTGCAGTTCATTGGTGGTTTGCTCAAGGGTCTCAATGGCTTTTTGATATTCCTTTTCAAGAAGCTCCACCTGAGCCATCAAGTCGGAAGCCCGAATGCGGTTGTTTTCGACTGTTTTCTCCAACTCTCGGATGCGAGATTCAGACTCAGAAGCTGTAGCCTCGGCTGAACAGCGTTTTGAGCGTTCATGGGCCACTTGTTTCTTGAGCTTTGATATTTGCCGGGTGTAGTCCTCCTTCGTAGCTGTGTTTTCCTTTTCAAGATTGTCAATAAGACTTTCAAGACCCTTTACTTCATAGTGATACTTGTCGAGGGCTGTGGTTAATCTGTCAATCCCAACAGCCTGTTCCTGGCCTTCGCGCTCGAGGTCTTGCATTCGCATCCTTGTGTGGAGCATGTCTCCTGCGGAAGATGCGATTGAATCCTCGAGCCTGTCGATTTTGCTTACAGCTGTCTCATATCGATGTAGTAAAGCATCAAACTGCCCTCGAAGAGCTCTTTCCCGGCCGAGAGAACCGTCATGGTAATGGCGCTCTGTCCCCAGATCTTTTGCCAATGACTCAACGCGCCTCACTAATGCACCCAAGGTTGCCTTGCCGTCCTCAAGACTGACGTTGGCAGTCTCACCAGGTAGCGCACGTTCAAGCTCAAGGCGAGCTGAGCGGAAGTGGCTCCGCATGTCGGATACGATATCGTCCACGCCGTCCCCGGAGAATCCTAAACCGGAGCATTGTCGGGTGACTCCTTCAAGAGCCTCGGCAGCATCAGAAGCACGAGAGAGAGCATTTTCCAAAATATCCATGATATTCTCGAAGAAGTCTGATGGTGGAGAAGACTGGCACAAAAGGCTATTGATCGTAGGGTCATTGAACCCTGAGATTCGTGATCGACATGCATTGAACAAGTTGTTCTTTTCTTGCCTGGCAGCTTCCAGGTCAAGGGTCAGGGTGTGAATATCAGATTGTTCGGTATTGACTGAAGTATGCGTTTGGGTGGCGCGAATCGGTGTCTGAGGTTCGTCAGATAGCATTAAGCTATCAGTGACAGGTGGATTATGACTCCGAGTGCCACGGAAATCAGGGGAGCTGGATACAATGACAGCACTATCGTTAAACATGAAAGTCTCTCCATCACTGTTCGAAAATGGGGCGGTGTCATCCAGGCTGTGATGAGAAACCACTGATACTTCCTCACAAGATCTGGGTGTATCTGGTGTCATCCAATAAGATTCAGCCATCGAACCTTGGCCCTCAAAGCCTATTTCACCTCGTCTCATAGCCCTGAGTTCATCTTTCAGGGAATCCCGCTCTTGAAGCAAAGCTCGCATGGTCTTTTCCATGTTGCGCGTCTGCCGCTTTTCACGCTCGATGTGATTGATTTCATCACTCAACCCAATTCGCCTAATTCTTCTCTGGGTCCGCGTATCTAGGATCTGGCGGAGTGGAGTAAATTGGATTCTTCGCTCGGTGCATGTTTCATCAAAGGGCTCCTCCGGGTCATACGACCGCTGGAAGCGTGGTGTTGGGGCAGACCTGCGTCGGGATTTGCGGCTAGGTGTGCGATCCCCAGATCCTGTCTCGAACGATGTTCGACGCATCGCTGGAGTTAAGCCGGTTGATCCAATATCTTCATCATGCAATAACCGAGGACCTGGGTCGGAAAACCGAACTCTTTTTCTTGATTTCTTGGGTGTAACAGATATTGGTTTTTGCTGTTGGTTGAGGCCGGCATCTTCTGGCACTGCTGCCAAGCTCTGTCTAGTCCGGCGTGAGACTGGTGACTGGCTTGGATTTGAGACCGAGCTCTTCCGTTTCCTTCCTGACCGAGTGATGTCCATGTTGAACAGACGAGTATATAGGAATAATGAAAGTCAAAACAAAGAAATGGTTTACAAAATAAAATTGTACACAGGGATAGGCTTATAAAGAGAATTCTATAGATCACAAGTTAAGACGTAAACAAACAAAGTGGGGCTCTATAGGCAACAGGCGCCTAGACGCGTGCCTAATCCATATTGCCTATTCCGGCGATGGTAAACAAGGTGCTTCTTTGGGCGATCAGGTGACAGCAGGACATAGGTTCCACGTGATGTTTACATATTCAACACACGTGACATGCTCCTTTACGTCTTATTCATCGAGGTATATCGAAAATAGTATGTGTTCAATCCGATGATCTCTTCACAGGCTGATACTTAGCTACCTGGACAAGATCGGGAAGTGTTTATTGTATAGATCAGAGCTACTCCACACTGCCACAACATATACCCTTATCGATAGCATCGAAGTTTCCACCTAGGGCAAATTAGAAATACAAAATTCCAAGGTTGGAAAGCCAGGCAGCTTCCTCCAATCGAAACCCTGCAATATTGGCAATATTAGCTAGGAAGGCACATTAGACCCTCTTTTCTACTTGGTCCCATTTCCCTTCTTACCTCCGTGTGACTCTGTTATGGAATAAGCCTGGTTGTGGTAAAGATGCTTGTATTGCTATGGAATTACTGCGTAGGATAAGCTACGCTGCTTAATAATACATCCGTCATCCATCCCCTAAGGGCCAGGCCCTCACAACTACCCCCTTTAAAAGTGTGCTACCGCCCTCGGTAGTAGGAGATGATACGCCTAGAAATCTATTGCCAGCTGGTTGGTAGAGAGGGGAGTCTACGGTAGAGGCCGCATTAAGGTAGTAATTACCCCTACTTCCGCCTTAATTGCCTTATCCTTTATAGTTTTAATATATCGGTTAACAAGTATAAGGCCCTCTGTAAAAGTAGTAGTATCACGAACAGTGTTTAGGGAAGCTCCGAGCCCTTCCTATATCGCGCGTACTATACGCGGGTCCCCCTTAATAAAGTAGGCGCGGAAGTTAATCAGTCTAGTATAGTTAAGGGAAGTAATATGTGTAAGATTTGTGCTAGTACTAATATATTACTATAGTACTTCGATAGCTAATAGTAAAGATATAACCGGTCCGATAAGGTTAGGGGCCCTATCAATCTAGCTAATCTAGAAGCGGAGGTCTATATTTTGTAGCGGTTTAGAGCGGGGTTTTGCGATAGTAACCTATCCCTAAGAAGGGATATATGTATTAGACGTAATACTCTCCTCTCTGTCCCTTTCACGGCGGGCGCGTCGTTGTTAATAAGCGGTAGGGTTACTAAATAAGTTAAGGATCTTATATATATCTTCCTATAGGATAAGCTTAAGCTTAGCTACGTCCTATACTAGGGGGTCTTAGTTTAGGAATAGTCTTCTATAGATAAAAGCCTCGCTGTTAAAGTTTAACTCTAGAATAGTCTACTAGGTCTGGTTGTATAGTTTATTATTAGGGAAGGTAGTAGAGGGGAAGTTATTAACTATATTATAGATATATTTATAGAAGCTGTTAAGATCCTATAGGCGGGCGTATATTAGGTCTTACTTTATCTTAGTCTGGTAGATTAATATATATACTATCAGATTATTATTTATAATAAATTAGTATACTACCTTATTTTAGCTATAGCTGATAGTAGCTATATAAACTAGGTTAACTAGCCTATTTATACTAGGCTTTAGGTAGGTAGTAGAATTAAAAGTATAGAGTACTAGCTTAGTTAAGGAATCCTCTATACTTACCTAGATAGCTTCGGGCGGGGCTAAGGTAGCGCTAATATAGAACTCTAAAACGCTTAAATAGTACTTTCTGCTAATAAGGTAGGATATAGGGTTCTAGCTACTATAAAGGATATAAAATACCTTATAAATAGGGAACTATAAGAGACTATTAGCCTAGATAATTATTAGGGGGTCTAGAAGAGTATATAAAGTATAGATATCTAGACCTGGCAGTAACCCTCCATTTAGACCCGCCAAGACGCTAAGGAGGGTCCAAAGTC